TAGTGGGGATGCATTTAGTACAATAATGGACAAATGTTCATCATTCATACCCTTTATTATATTGAGATATGTTCCCTCCATCTCTGGTCCATTCAGGACTTTGATCATGAGGTGATATTAGATTCTGTTAAAGGCCTTTTCTGTATCTATTGAAATAATAATATGATTTCTGTTAGTATATTTATATGATGTATTGTTTTTATTAATTTATACCTGTTAAACTGTCCTTGCATTTTTAGTCCATTTTAATCAGATGATATCTTGAATTCATCTTTCTAATTGCTATGTTCATCAGGGATACCATTCTGTAGTTTTGTGTCTAAATGTATTTATTTAGCTTTGATATAAGGATTTAACTGGCTTCATCCATTAAAAAAAAAAACCAGTTTAGAAGCATGCCTTCTTTTTCTTTTTAGTGGAGTAATTTGATTAGTATTGGTATCACTTAACCTTTGAAGATCTGGTAAAGTTCTACAGTAAATAAGTCTGGGCCTTTTTTTTTTTTTCTTTTTCTTTTGAGACTCATTAGTGTAGCTTTAATTTTGTTGTTTTCTCCAATGTTGCAAATGAGACTTTGGGTGACTGCCCAGGAAGCCAGTTGTCTCTGCCATTTGTTGCACATTTTAGAAGTTGCTTGATTGCCCGTCCTGCTTACTCAAGTAATATTATTTCCCTTCTCGGACCTTTGATGAGGTTGAAAACTTGATAGTTGCAGTTACTTTTCTCTTATGACTTGGCCAAGTTATTTATATACAAGACTTAAACTCATTAGGATATGATAATTATTGAAACATTTATCATATGTTTCTTGCTTAATATTGTTTCTGCTGGTTGTAATTCTAATTTTTGTTTCTGATATTTGTTCTTATTGCATATAACTTTGTATTAGGCTATTAGGCTTAGAACTTTCTTATTTAAACAAAAGGGGGAGGTGCTGTAGGAATTCCTACCACCAGTAGCCTTTAAGTTACCTGCGACATATATATGCATACACACACACACACACACACACATATATATAAATTTAATTTTATGGTATTTGGAAAGAATTCCTCCTATTGAGTGGGCCTTAAGCTCAACTTGATGAGTTGGTTACTCCCAGGATAGAAGTGATACTGTTGCACCTCAGAGGATCTCTTGTCATTCTCATCAGTTGTTTCTCATAGATTCTACAACTGCATATAGGACTATTGATTACTTTTTATAAATTGTTACCTTGTGTAAGTCTTTCTGGTTCTGTGAGAGCTATTCTTCAGGGAGGAGACATCCAGAACACTTCCAACTTGTTTCTGAATTATGTAATGTCTTCAGTAGTAATATCTCACCTTCAATTTCTGAGAGGCAATCAAGAGCAATGGTGATAGCATATATTGTTTGGGGAGTTTCTTAGACTTCTGATCAAGAACTTGAAAGGCAAGTTGAAGAACCTTTATCAAGTCTCAGGGCACAGTGGTAGTAATATTTTTATTTGAAAGCTAAAATTTGTTCTATATTATATATGTGTCAGCAGTTGACTGTCCCTCTCTTAATTCTGTGGTGTCAGGGTTAGCTTGCTTTATTTCTCCACTCCTTGTCTTATTTTGACACATTGGATTGCAGTGCAACAAATGGTATAAATCTTAAGATATATTATTATGTTTATGTTCTTGTGCTCCTGCATTTTGACATGAAAAGAACATGCCTTAAACATAGATGCATTTTAAAGAAGATCAGAGGCCTGTGGAATGATCTGAACTAGGTCATGCAGTGGAGTCAAAATGAATATAGCCTAAGTGATATCAGCACAAACTTCAAGACATCCAGCTAATGCCTGGCAGCTTGTCACAAGGCACTGCCTTTGCAGGTAATTTTAATACATAGGTATTATAAGGAGCACTAATTTATTTTTCTATTCCTTTTTTAAAAATTTTTTTCAAAAGATATTGGTGATTGGCTAGAAAAGTCTTATTACTTCAATTACCACAATGAAAATGTTAGAAGTGTCACCCCATTAATAAATTATTAAATCATAGAGGAATGAACAAGAGGATAATATGTCATGTTGACTCTTTGTTTTTATGGGTTCTCTTAGATATTCCTTCTATGATATTTGCATTGTATACATGCATTAAAATTTAAGTTTCTGTAGAATTACATATTCCTCTTCTAACAAAACCCACGGCTAATCAATAAAATTTAAAATAACAGGTAGAAAATATTTAGCTGAGCCTATATGGATGCTATCAGTTCAACAATAGTCTGTCTACCATCTGGGAATCAAGCAAATTTTGGGGATAACAATAAACTGCACAGAAAATCAAACGGTAAAGATTGAAGTCCTCTTAAATATCACTCAGTGTTTTTCAAAGCAGTGTGCCATTTATTTCCATAAACACATTTGGTACAACATTCTTGCAGCCTCCAAACCTTTGACCATTCAAAACAGGATGTTATTCTATTACATCTGCTGCCAGAGAGACTGGAAGGGCAATAGTCTTAAAGGAAGTGTAAACCTTTTTTATTTAGCTAAATGAAGTGTGAACTAGCATTGCTATATTAAAGAAGCCAGTACACATCACACACACTCACACACACACACACACACACACACATTTTGGTTCTGGCTGAAAAATGGGAGAAATTGGAGTACTCACATGCAGAGCTATATTTCAGTTGTAAAAGGAACGTATAGCTCAAAACTGAGCACTCTATCAAAATTAACTGATTTTATTTTTAAAGTAATTCTATAACCCCTATCAAACAATAAAATATACACTGATTTTGAGTGTTGAAAGACCATTTTCTCAGACAGAGATGTAAGACCCTGAAACAAGCCTAATGATTTGAGAATAGAACCAACACCAAGCTTGCCTTTCTAACGCTGGAGCAAGAAGCTAGAAATCAATAGCAAGAGGCACCTTCAAAAATTAGACTATTTCTGAATGCAAAGAAACCTATTTACGTCCTGTATGACTTTTAATAGAACTGTGATGAAAGGAAGTCACGTAATTTGTAAAAGTAATACAGAAATGGCAGAAGGAAAAATTTAAACACCCTTTCATATTTATCAAATAAAAATTCTTTTTCACATTCTTTACTGTGAAATAGGACACTTGTCATCAAAACTATTTAGACTTTTGAAAGTGTTACAAGTCTAAATCTCATGGTGTGTGTAGCATAGTAAGAAGCAATTAAATTGTTCTATTTTGTAAGTTATCCACTCATTATTAATTCAGTTTTTCTTGTGTAATTATGAAAATCATTTGTGGTATTCAAAGAAGGGCTGGCATACTCCATGGAGGCCAATAGCAGACCCAGAAGTACTCCCTAATGTTGAAAGGTGTCACAGAGCTCAATGAGGGGAAGGAGAAAGAAAATAAACATAGAACCAAGCTGCAAGAGGTGATGGTGACAAGCAAGTCGAGCAAGACAGAGAAACTTGAGTAGACAAATGTGTGCATTCCCAGGTGTCAGAGACCAACTTCAAGAAAAATACCACTTACCAGTGTATGAGAATGGGGATTAGAAAAATAGTAAAGAATATGAAGATGCAAGTGAAAATGATGAAACAGAAAACATAGGATAGTCCCAGGAGGGAGTTCCAGCAAATACTGAAATTGCCTCCATTTTATTTCCATTTTCTTAAAATACCCAGACCCCTAGATGTAGGAGTAAGATAAATTTTGCATTAACATGATACAAGGAAATGAACATACCAGTTGAAGAGTGAGGGCTACATTCTTAGTTAAACATTCTGTTGGTAGTACGTGGCAAGTAACACACCCCAGACTAAGACATTCTGTAGGCAAATCTGGGTGGCATTCATACTTCTCTCTCTACGGGAGTAGGAGCTTAGATGGAACCTTAGACTTTTATTAAGTGTAGAAGTACATCTACTTCTCTATTCCTGAAATACAAGATCTTGTTAGCAGCCACATCTGTTGACAATAACCTTGAGAGAGCAGAACTCTGTGACCTAAGTCTGGGTGGGACCTTCGTTTGAGGTTGGAATAGACAATAACATTGAAGGAACAGATGATCCAACTCTCTGACCTGTGGTCTGGGTAGACTGACAACAGCTTTGAGCCAGCTGAAACTCTCTGATCTTCAGACGAGGTGGAAACGGTCTCACATTTTAGGCCTCCACACCAGTTATCCACTGAGAAGATGCAGGAACAATGGCAAATCCAAAGAATCTCAAAGAAGTCACCAGAAACCCACAACACACAGTAGAGACCTTCATCTGAAAGGTGGGTACGCTCAGAGAACGACTCCACCGTATTCTCACAGTCAGTAGGACCCAGGGAATAACCAGCAAGGCTACATTCCTGGGTGGCAAAGGCCAAACCTGTGTTTTACCCATTGCTTTTAGAAAGTTCTGCACTGTCCCTGTGCATCTGCTGACATCAAGCTCTCAGAAACTGTCCTGGCACGACCACATGACAAATTCTAGGACAGGAAGCTCCTCCCAGCATTCTACCACCAGACCACCACAGGAGGCATGAATACACAGTGGTACTCCATCTGGGCCAGGAGACCACACAGCTTGTATAACAGAAAAGCCACCTAAGGCAATATTGGAGCAGTCTGCTCTCCTTCTGAGGGTCACACATTCTTTGTATTCGCGTAACTTCATCTCTGTGAGAATGAAGTACGGCTTTGAATACTACAATTTCTGATTGAACTAAACACATGTAAAGGCATGGTTCTTTTTGCTGCCTCCTCTCTTTCCACAGCTCAACAGTTACCAGGAATGTGCTTAGTCTCCTCCCATACTGACCACCTCTAAACATGGAACACTTACATGTTTAATTTTGAACCTTGCTACTGCTTGGAAAATACCATCTGCCCTCAAGTACCAGATCATACTACTTGGAAAACAGGTCATTTGGTTTTACCAAGAGTAGCCAAAAATGTGTCTCAAGCAGCAGCTATTGTGCTGTCCTATTTATTGGCTCTTTCTTGTTTTTCATTTTTCTCCTTGTTTTTTTTTTTTTTCTATCCCTTTATTTGGGCTCCAGAGTATTTGAGAATACTGCCCACCCAGGCTATGACAGGCTTCAGTTCGATCGCTAGCTGGAAACATGAAGAAAATCCACAGTGATGGAAACCTTTTCAAGTTGAACTTCTGTCAAGCAATTGCAGGAGCTTGTGGTTTTGTGGTAAAATTCGTCAAAGAAGTTGTGGAAGTGGCTAAGTGCTGTAAGTTGAAATGGCTACAACAGGGTCCACAGGGCTGTGTGAAGGATGTCTCCTTCGTACCCATCAGTTTTTGATCTCCTCTGAAGTCCACAAAGGACTGTCCATTGTCTGACAACCAATGTAACATGTCAAATTTTCATTTTATAAATTTGATTGTTGCCTGTGAAATAAAGAAGACTCTTTGCTATTCAAAGCTATGGTTTCCTGATAGAAATTATTTTTCAGGGAAAGTTCATTTAATCAAACTGCCACATAAGTTTTATTAGAAGTTCTCTTTGAGGCATTGGATAAATATGAGCAAAGACGAATTCTGAGGGAAGGGTGTAGGACACATGTTGATTTATAGTTAAAATGGAGAAAAACAATTAAAATAAACCCAAACAAATATAAACAGAAAAGTGACATATCTGATTTTTTAAGTGACCATGTTAAGTTACATTATGACAAAAAGCTCATTAATTAGAGCACACAAATCGTTTAGCACAGTAAAAGAGCAAAAAGCAATGGTATGCTATTCTCTTGAGAGAGAGAGAAAGAGAGAGAGAGAGAGAATTTTCCTGAATAATAATTTTTTTTCAGCAGCAGCATCATCACAAAATTGACATTTTATATAGGAAGAAAGAGTTGCACTCATTTCAATAAAAGGATAAATAAAATAAATTGAGATGAGTAGTGTGGTAATGGTAATTTTCATTGTTTGGTTGATAGAGTATACAGAGAATGTTGAGTGCAGACAATAGGAAAATAGGGCTGAACAGACAACTTTTTAAAAAGGTGAATATTTTAAACACTGCAAGTAAACAAATACACACACATATAATGACATATCTAAACTTTTAAATGAAATATATGTTATACATTTGTAATTCAGACATTTATGAATATAACACACATCCATATATTATATATGCACACATATATGTAATATATGCATCTTCATTATCTTTCCAGACCTATGCTGCTGAGCTTTAGCTCAAACCATCCTTAACCTTTATAACTTCTGCTTCAACCATGGTTATTTTTTTGCTTCTCAATCTTAATATCTCCTTGACAGTCTTGAAATGTATATATATACACATACAGAAATACATATACACACATGTCCCCTACCTAGATAGCAGGTCTACCTCATCCTTCTAATTTCAGGTTTCCTGATGAAGCTGTTTTATGTTAGCAGTGAATGTTAGATGTTTCTGTTAAACATCATCATTCAGTGGTCAATTTCATGGCATTATTTACATGTTCATTTCTATTGCACTCGAGTACTTTGGTTTAAGGAAAACAGGAAATACTCCTTTCCACTGAAGCAGGGATCTTGATTTGTTTTCTTTTCTATTCCAAGTATCATTATTTATACAGATCAACTGCTTATTTTTCTTTATACATACATATTTATTTATTATTTATACAGATCAATATATGCCAGTAGGTAGGCTGATTCGCATGATTGGTCTTTTTCAGTTTTACTTTTATTTTTGTTTATCAGTATATGTGCATACTTATGTGCCCGGTGTATTTATGCCTTGTCTTGTTGCCTATGAAGGCCAGAAGAGGGCAACGGCTCCCCTTGAATTAGCGTTAGAAAGAGTTGTGATATTCCTATGTGGAGAGCTGAATCCTGGTCCTTTGCAAAAGCAGCAAGGGCTTCTAACCACTAAGCCATTTCTCCGGTGCCTGATGAGTCTTGAAGTCTTTCTTAATAAATACGTCCACCATTGTAGAGTCAATATAAAAACAATTTTGACCTAATTGAGTCTCTGCTGGAAGTGAGTGCTTGGTAATGTAATTACACATTCAATAGGAAAGACTTGTGCCCTCATGTTAGTAGCCTTTTCTGATTCCAGTGGTCCTGCTTGAATAGTAGCATAAGTTTAACAGCTTTTGAAGACTAACGATTTTCAGTGCAATTGAATTGCCGTCTTTAGAATGGTCCTCACAGATCCGAATGAAGTTTACATAGCTATTTTATATACTTACTTATACCATATACTTACTTAGGGTTTAACTATATTTCTAAAATCTGCTACTCAATCCACTGCATGTTTTTAGATGAGGATTCCTTGAACGATTACTTATTTCCTTTCTGAGATAAAAAAAATAAAGTGCTGGAAAACTATTAAAATGATTCAGAGGAGTATCAGCTATCAATATCTTCAAAAACTTTGAAAGTTCTTGTTTTATCTTCTATGATTACTAAGTTCACATCATTTTTCTGTTTTTGTATTCTTTTGCCTTAGATCTAGTGTGCAAACTAGCTTTTAAATGTTATTACATTCGATATATTCCAAAAATTACAAAAATTCTGCTTTTAATTCATCATTCTGTTCCTGTAAATTTCTCCCTATTCAAATGTGGTGGGAGATAAAGTGGGTGAGGGATCATGTTTGTGACTCTGCACAGAAGAAATAGTGCCTTTATGAACTTCATACAAAATGGGTTCATCAGAATTGAGGAAAAGTCCATTCTATGCCAATAGGGCCAACACTCCAGAGGGTTGTAGAGGGAGAACACAAACTCGGGATGAGTCCTAAATACTTTGGCTCAAAAAGAAGAAGCACAGAACAATGGAAAACCTAATTTTAGTTTTGATATTTGCGGATGAGCTTTACATTCAGAAGAGCTCACTTACAGTTCAATACAGGAATATAAGCCTATGTTCATACAGTTTGTTTGAAAGCTTTTGTGCTTCAGTTCTTCAGTTTTACTCCTATGTATATCCGCATCATAACTGATCTGTGTCACCTTTCTGATAAATGTTTACCTTATATGGTTATAATTATGCACTATGGGGGATCCTTATCCTTCTGTTCAGTTGCTTGTGATTTCCACCAATACCAGAATCCCAGGCCAGCTTCCATTTTCAACCCTTGCCTTATTCCTATATACAACTATCCCTTAGGCTACCTATTTTCATCTAATGTGATAATTACAGTTACCAAAACTTAGGCTTAAATGAAAAAAATATTAATACCATGTTTCTATGTTCTGGGAATTTATTCAAAATGTTCCAAATTTATGGAGTACTTTCCTGACAGATGAGTGTGTTTTTAAATTTTACCATCTTTTATACTGGGCTGTTGTGGCACACACCTTTAATCCTAGCAGAAGGCAGAGGGAGGCAGAACTCGGAGTTTGAGGCCAGCCTGGTCTGTGAAGTCAGTTCCAGGATAGCCAGAAAAACGCAGAGAACCCTGTCTCAAAAAGCAAAACAAAAACAAAACAACAGAAACTTATGATTTTTTCGGTCTTTTTTTTTTTTCTTTTCAATACCTAATGTTAGTAATCCCAAGTGGGAATTTACTGAAGTACAAAGAAAAGAACTGGGATTTAGAAGCTGAAAAGATCTGGTATTGAATTTGGGCCCTTTCAGCTACCATACTTGAAGTTTTATGATAACTATCTCAACATTTCTTTCTAGTCCTGTTGATTCAATCATAAAAATGCAATTAATAATTTTAATAGAATAATTTATGCTGTAAAAATATGCAAAATCTTAAAGGTAGTCAAAAATTACTGTTAATTTTGTAGATCAAATTTCCTAAAATGGTAGTAAAATAATCCAAGCAAGGAAAGAGACTGTATGACATCTAAGTATGATAATGGCTAGTGTAATATTTATTCACATTAATAATCCATTTGTATATATAAGACATTTTCTTAATTTATATTTTTGGAGGGTGGTGATTTTTCCAGACAGGGTTTCTCTTTGTAGCCCTGACTGTCCTGAAATGCATTCTGTAGACCAAGCTGACCTTGAACACGTCCAGATCCTACTGCCTCTACTACCCAAGTGTTGGGATTAAAGGCATGCACCACCACTACCAGTCTATTTTCTTAATTTCTCTACTGCTAATTCCATGAGTGTTAGATTTCCTGACATACTGACATGGATTTTATACTAGCATGGACTTCTGCTTCTCTTCTTTCTGTCTTTTCCATGTAAAGATAAAATGAAGGCATAAAGACAGGTGGTGTGTGTTTCTCTTCTTCACAATTCCAACAAAGTCAACAAAATCATCTCTTCCCCCTTCCCAGGGAAAGTCTGAATATCAATAATACAATGTCTCATAAATAAATCCATTTGAAAATGTAAATGCAAGGGACTGTAATTTACCATTTCTCAAATTAAGATGTAGAAATTACTTATAAGAAGCCTGAACTAATAGGCCAACAAGTTTATAATTAATGTATGCCTCTGTGTGTTTTCTATGGGACTGAATGGCTGCAAGACCAGGAAGTACAGAAACCTCAGTCAGGAAAATTTCATCTTCCTTAAGCTACTACCTTTCACTGTTTCTTCCAGACCTTATTTTCCAAAAGTTACTTACAATCTTATTATTGAAGCATTGGTTTGAACTGTCACAACAAACCCCTTTGTTACTTCTTGTTGTTCTCTATTTTTACCTGTAGAATACTTGATGATAAAGGCAAGGTCTTCATTGGTTATACAGCATCCTTAAAATTTTAGGCAATGATGCATCTGTTTCAGGTGAGTGTCAGAGTTTAAAGAAGGAAGGATAAGATTAAACACATGGGTTTTCTTGAATAGTAAAATCTGTTTGGAAAACTAAGAAGAGTATCTCACAAAATCTGTTTTTACACCCTACAACATGATGTGACTCACAATGATTACCTGGATCAATTATATTCTCTTGATATGGTAAATAAATTATCAGTGCAGAGAGATGGATGGGGAAATTCACAGGTGTCAAATTATAAAAGGGCACAAATGAGATATTGGAGATGCTCTGATGGAACCAATAGTATTCAGAATATAGGATTAAGGAGAAATTAAACATGGTTAAGTCAACTATGAAGCCAAAAAGAATAAAAATAAACACATAATCACTATATATTGAGCAGGAATGTGGGATAAATAAGAATAATGTGAGGAATAGACACATAAATCTGCAAATAGTAACCGAGTATCTTGGAACAGTTAAAAGCCAAGAAAGAAATGGCCCTGGTCAAGACATTTGTGTTGATTTTAATTCAGAACTATGGTCATATGAAGAAGGATGCTAAAAAGAAATTTCACACTAGCTCAGAATGAAGGCAAAGGTGTAATTCACAAACAATCCAACACCAGTTTGGAATTATGATT